GGGGTGGGGGGTCGTATTTTACACGAGTAAATTTTGACCGACATTTTTCAGATGTACAACCACAATAACTTTCAATATTTTCTTGCATATAAATAACTGAAGTGTTGTATCACGGGGGATAAATGATCATAATTCACCCCTCCCTACTGTGGTACATTACGCATAGCGAAGCCTATAAATAACAATAGTATATAAATATTTTTTATTGTTGAATTTTTTTACACCAGAGTCTAAGGAGAAAAACACTTTGCTCCACAACCACAAGTGTGTGTCCCAGAGTAATCCATTTCCTCACCAGAGAGTACACCACGAGGGCTGAGATGTTCTGAAATAATTATGAAATTAGGGGTAGTATTATACATGAAGATTAGATTTTTTTTTTGTGTTTTTTGAGATTATTGATTGTTCTTTCCACCTGGTGTTGTCTGAACATATCATATATCATTAATGGTGGACATGACTGATATTTGTTTTTTGTTGTTTGTATTTTGTACCTGACCAGACCAAGAAGAGTGGTAAACCTGGACCCTTCCTGCTGTCTGGATCAAGAGACAAAACTGTCAAGATGTGGGACGTTAGCATTGGCTTGTGCCTTATGACACTGGTAAAAAGAAACACCCTTGTTATAATGGCTTCCTTATTATACTTGTGTTTATTTGCACTCTAAGAAAAAGATGAGTATAAGGAAAATGTTTATTCATCTGTGGATTTCTGCCTCACAGGTTGGACAYGACAACTGGGTGCGTGGCATCCTCTTCCACCCCGGAGGCAAGTTTATTGTGACCTGCGCAGACGATAAGACCTTAAGGATCTGGGACTACAAGAACAAGCGCTGCATGAAAACTCTGAGTGCCCACGAACACTTTGTTACCTCTCTGGGTAAGCATAGGACTCAATCCCTTATCTGATTGGACAGGTTAACAGTTTTGCTTCTCCTCTTGAAGAGTTTTTTTTTTTTTCCCACTGCAGATTTCCACAAGTCTGCTCCCTTCGTGGTCACCGGGAGCGTAGATCAAACTGTAAAAGTATGGGAGTGTCGCTGATTTGGACCTCGAAAGATTGGACCACCACCCCGATTTTACCCAGATGCTCTTCTGGATCCCACCCTCCCTCTTTCCTCACCTCTCCTTTCATCCTAATCCCCACCTCACCCAATCACCTAACCTAAAACTCACCCCGCACATCGTCATCTCCTTCAGCTGCACTCGCCACCATAATTTACCCTCTGCGCTCTCTGGTCCAATAACTTAGTTTTTTTTTTTTTTGGTCCTCCTTTGTAAATTATTCCTGGATGTAGATTGAGCTAATAAATGTTACACACCACAAAAAAAAGTATTCTTGCATGGTAATCCAAAACTGTATACTGTAAATTTACATAACGTTTGTCTAGAAGTACCATAGGTTTAACACTGGGCTGAGCGTCTGTCACACAGCCTTACCAACCAACCTGAAGGCAGATGTTTTCGACTGGGTGTGAAACGTAGGGCACTAAAAAAAACAACAACAAAAAACTGATAATTTAAGAAATGACAGTGTCTTTATGTGTAAAATTTATTTTTGTTTATTTTTTTATTTAGGATTTTGTTTCTTTTCGATGTTATTCCTGCTCCTTCACTGTCGTAGTCTGTTGGTGCCTAGCTTGGTGACACGTTTGAGAGACAAAGGCAGGAAAAGCATATRAGAGACGTCCGTGGGGCTTCATTATCGACATAATCTGTAGCTTTATAACATCACTTCTCGAGTGTGCATACCATTTCTCTTTATGTGGAACTAGGTTCTATTTTAATGGCTGTAAATACAAATGTTTCATACTGTCGTCCTTGGACCTGGGCGGGCTCGAACGGCTTTCTACTTCATGTTTTGTTTTGTTTCTCGGTGGCAGATGAGCTACAGCTGAGCTTTAGATGAATTGTCTAGTTTACAAATAAAGCAGTTGTGTGAGGCTTTTTGCAAGAAGCTGTCAGCGGCTCGCTTTAGGATATCCAATTGGAAAAACGCGGCACAGAGAAACGTGTGAATATTGATGCTAAATTGTGTCACTGTGCCACAAAACGTGTCTAAAACTAATCTGTGGAAGAGATGCAAAGTCAAAGTGAACCCACTCCCCCAGCTCAGCTTAATATCTGGGATGTGCAAAGATCTTTAATTTCTAAATATGTTTTGCAGAATTAAATGATTTTGGAAAAAAAATTTAAAAAATTATAAAAAAGAATAAGAATCTGATGCTTTACAGTTAGATGGTCGCAGGATTGCCTCCCAGCCTTTCTGGGTGCACAAATGTGCACATTTAGGGTTTACATGTGGGCACTCCAGCAAAATCATGCATGTGAGGTTATTTGGCAACTCTAAATTTGCCCCTAGGTGTGGGTGAGACTGTGAAGGTTTGTCTCTTTGTCTGGTTTGATGGACTCGGGACATGTCCAGGGTGTCCCCTGTCTCTCGTACAGTGACTGCAGGAGATATGCACTTCCTGATAAAGTGGGTTAAGAGAATGAATGAATGGAAAAATAATAGGAACTTTGTGATGTGTTTTTATCTGAGATTTGAGGGTTGTTCTGGATCAGAAGCAGAAACCCCCCCGCCCGCCTATTGAAGTGTTTTTCTCTCACATTCAGGCCACTCTACCATTCTGCGTTACCTCATAGGACAGAAAATGAAAACATCCCGCCTCCTACGTGATTTACTAACCTTGCACATCCCTGTTTTCACCGAAGCTTTTTTGATGACAACACAAGCGCCATCCGCCTGATTTCTGATATCATTCCAGGAAAGAATTCCACTGCTTCTCGCCTCGACGTCCGTCTTTGCGGCGAGGTTTTCCTCTTCGTCTTGTGTGCTGGATGTGGTGATCTGCTCCTTGAGCTCCTGGCCTAGTGGCTGCTGTGAGCCTTAYGGAACCTGTTGATGTGGCACCGCTGCATGTAGACCTGCATCCAGAGGCAGAGCTGTCAGAACGGGGTCTCCTAACGGCTCCGAGCCTTTATATCAGACYGACTGGTTTGATGTAGTGACTGTACTCACTGTGGTTCAGGAGAGCACCAATTTACCTTTTTTGCCACGAGCTGAATGAAGTCAKCAGTGATGTTTTCTGACCGACAGAGAAACTGTTTATCCAAACTTAATTAAAGCGACTTTGGTGGTTGGCTAGCTAGAGTTCAGACAGCTCTGTTGTTTGGTTTGTAGACAGGCTGGTTTGTTGTGTTTGATGCTATTTGATGGAGRTTTCACAGCCTCTGTCTTCTGTAAATGCATTGGGACTGTGGCAGACTAGGATGCACCCCAAAAGAGAAATCCTCTCTTTTTACGGACATCTCCCTTTAATGAGTGCCCACATTTCTAAGGTTTAATATAGATTTTGTTTTCTATAAGCTCTGTCCAATATGTCTGACATGAAGACTTATAGTAAGAGAGAATCAGTTAAATTTGGTCGATGGAGATGCCGGTGTGTTAAATGTTCTAGATGAAGCCAAAAATGGAKATATCATCTGTACGATCTGGTCTATCTTGAAAAATCAACACAATGATGGATCACGCCAGAACACAACTTATAAATATAAAGCGTGTTCCCTCTTGCTTTGAATCAAGTAAGGAGGTCAGGCTGATGTGTGTTTTGTAATAATCCTTGTAAAGTAAGAAAAAAAATCTCTAAAACACTGCTGTTTGTATGCAACTGCAGATGAAAATCTAGACCTTCGCAGGTCCAAAGCAATCCYTGTGCTGCTGCGGTTCGGTCCGGTGAAATGACCCACAGGCAGGTCTTAAATGTCCGTGGGTGGTTTCCTGCTGGCCTCTGTCCCCCAYCCCCTCCCGTCCTCTGTAAGCTGCCTGTGAACCACATCTGAGGGCTTCAGACTGCACAACAAGAGAGCTCATGATGTCTTTGCCACTTTATGGTCTCACTCTTCACTCAGCAAACTGTTAACAATATACCTGGATGTCATTATTGTTTGCGATATAATAAAAAAAAGAAAATCTGCATTTCTGTGTTCTGCTTGTTTTTTTGTTTTAATCTTGGTCATGGTAATGATTCGTTTGGGGAAACAGGTGTTYTAACCTTAAAAAAGGGAAGTTTACAGTTTAAACTGCACACAATGTGACATCATTCACTGTTCCAAGTTGGAGTACAAAGGAGGAGTATTGCGTAGATATTACTCCTTCAAATTAAAGCTCAGATCTAAGTTTCTTTGCTTTCCTTTTACACCGGTTCATGTTAATTGTGACATGCTAAACTTTGTTCTGAAGAAAAAAAATAATGAAGACAAGAAGTTTGCTTAAAGTGTAAAAAAACGATAAATTTATGACAATTCTCAATTTCATTTAAAGTTGATGTAATCAGGTTAAACAGAATCCTTTCACAATGAGAGGCACCAAAAAAATGAGGAGTTTAGGAGTAATAACACCAGAAAACAGTTATTCAATCAGAATATCAGAAACTTTAATAAACACGTTTATGCACAAAACTCAAATGTGAAAKTTTCACGTGAAAAGAAGAAAGCTGATGCTAAAACCACTTTATTACAGYTTGCAGAATAAACACTGATTTATCGTGTTTAAAGTTATAAAAATGTTTTGTTGTTGAAGATTGTAGATGTCACTTGGATTAAACTACATTTTATGATTAGAAAGTACAAAATATGTGAACATATTTYGTGTTTTCAATAAGATTTTGCCTCAGAAAGCTCTTGAATTTTTTAGCAAACAGGACTTGTAAAGTATTACATTTTTATAATGATACAACTAGCATTTTAAAAATAACACTTTTTGTTTTCCTGCTAAAATTGTCYTTTTTAACCCTAAAAGTGCCGTAAGAGTTTATTTACTTAATCGTATTGTATGAAACCCAAAATAGTCTGGCATTTCTCAGATGATTTACACTTATTTTTAGATAAAATATAAACATGGTCAAAGTACAAAGTGGAGCACTGATAGGTTCACACCGATAGAATGAAACATTTTAAATAGATGGAGTTTTTTTTTTTTCAAATAAATTACAAAATCAAAAGGACATTTTACGAGAAAAAAATGTAAACATTAGGGTGACGTAATCACGCAGTAGCGTAGAGCGGTGACGTAAAGACGTACAGGAAGAGAGTTGCAAAAAGTCAAAACGTTGGACCTACGGTGTGTTTTTAGGCTGCTGTGGTTTCATTAAAGACTCAGCGCAAGTGGGTAAACTTTATCGACCAGCAGATAAAGTTGTTGAACCGATAAGCAGGTAGAAAAATAACTTTACATAGTTTTTAGCGGATAGGGTTAGCTTAGAGTAGCACTGACGAGGTACTGCGGTTTGTCTGAAATGTGAAGATTTGTTTTCGGTTTTAAGGTTTTGTTTACCTGTCAGGTAAAGTTGTGTTACTGTACAGCTGAGTTTTCTGTGGGTGGTCATCATGATTTCAATAAYTGTTCTTCTGCTTTAAAATCTGATTCGATTTTCACTGTGACAAAAATGCCATCATGACATGTCTGTTCTASTTTATTTATGCACTGTCGTGATTGTGATGCTGTTTTTGTGACGTCAGGCCTGTCCACATGGCTCTCAACAAGTCCATGCATCCTCGGAACAGGTACAAGGACAAACCTCCGGACTTCGCCTACCTGGCCTCCAAATACCCGGACTTCCAGCAGCACGTGCACACCAGCCTCACAGGACGACCAGTGTAAGTGCACGAGCTCCGCGTGAGTGACTGTTTGCTCTTTTACATTTTTTTATTGTTGATTATTCCTATTTTGCAGACAAAGGAAACGATAAGGTGACTTATGAAGTTTTTTTTTAAATTATTTATTTAATTTTATTTTATTGCAAATATAAATTGACATCATTATCATTCAGCAACTCAAACAGAGATCTCTGATCCTTGTCAAGGATGCATGTGAGAGTTTGTTTCTTTCATTAAATTGRGGTTTATTATGTATTTTCCAGACACAGTTCAATTCTATACCACAATCAAGTAACTGTTACCTTCAGTTGTTATAAAAAAATTACATTAAAAATAAAGCTAAATACCTTGAAATTGGCTTCTGTCTCTAATAATCTCCTACAGTTTCGGACACTCCCACTTCAGCAGTCTTCACAACAGTGCTCCAGGGAAGGGGTGAACTGTGGAGCGGGCGCTTTGCAGACTTAGCTCCAGGGAGCTCAGTCTGAAGCACTACTTATGAAAAGTTTGAGAACAACTGTATTAAAATTTACATAATTACCTGCTGCCCCAGAAAATATATGGTTCTAGAAKTACCACAGTTGTACTACTGGTTTTTAACCTTATACATGTTTAAAACCCCTGATATTTGATGTAATTAAACAAACTGGCCAATTTACCAAACTATAAGTATTTAACAAACCCAGTTGGCTAATGTTGTACATTGTGATGGCTCCATAGATTTATTGTTGACAACAGAACCACGTACACCGCAGTCTTTGTTATTCTGCCTCACAACAAATTTAATACAATTTTAAGATATCTTAAATACATTTTTTATTGCTAACATGTCTTACTAGTAAACTGGTCAATCGTCGTCCTCTCCAGTTTCCACAGTAGTTCTCAMAATGTTCTCCACTACCCTTTAGTTGTAAGCAGTTTACAATTGGTGCCTAGTTTGTAATTTGCATGAACCACTCATCTGTTTGGCCYTTTATGGCTTTAGCTTTGCATCACACTTCAGTGATGACAGCTAATTAGCTTTTATTTAACTTATTGATACTAAAATTTCTTCTGAGCTRCCTACCACCAGAAGGATCCTGAGTTCCACCAGTGGCACGTGCACCACAGTTTGAGAACCTTGGCTTTAATTACATGAAATGAAATTGAGCTGTACTCTTTTTTTTTTAGGGTTAAAGAGAAATTTTGAACTGAAGATTTTAAGATTATTAATGAGGAGATAAAAGCTGTAATACTTGACAGATAGCTAATGCTAACTATGCACACATTATATTCAAATAGATGAATATATATTGTTGTCAGTGAACAGTGTTTATAACCTTGTAGCAGCTGTAATCAGATATCTGTATTGGTAGATCAGATGAATACTCACAGATAGGAAACACAACCCGTCGTCTTGTATCATGGAGGTGACAGCTTTAATTTATAATCACTCTCACAAACTTTGTGTAAACAGAAATAAATTTCTGCAYCTATTACATAATCTAAGAACTCTGGTAACAGTTAAAATAAACTCCGCTTGAAGGTAATTCAAGCAGCTTTTCTCAGTGCTGCCACTTCAGTCAGGTTTTTTTCTGAGCACTAAGGATTTTTTGACCTGACATGTAGTTTTTCAGGTGTTCACATATGTTAGAACTGACACAGCATATATTTTCAGCAGAATATGAAACTCTGAGCAACACATTCAGCACTGCTGGTGTTCTGGCTGACTCCATCTAATTTAATGTTGGACAAATGATTATTAGACCCACCATTCTGAAGATGTTTTCTGTTTGGTTTCAGTCTTACATTTCAAAYTTTCTGTGCCAGTGAGACTTTACAGATTTGCATGTGTTACAGTTTAAACCAAGCTTACATTTTTTTAAAAAGAAAATGTTTTAATGGGTTTTGTTTACCCAAACGTGTCCCTTTTTGTTTATGGATGAACTTCATTTCATCCAGATGTGTTCTTCTGGTTTTAGATTTTTGATGCTTGATGATTTTATGCCATTAGTCATTATGAAGTTTATTAGTAACCAATAGTTGAACTCAATAAAAACTTTGCTTAAAGGGGCTATATCATGTAAAATCAACTTTTTTGAGCTTTATATSATGTTATAATGTTATCCTCTCATCAAAAACATGCCTAAARTCTTGCTTTGACTCATTCATGCATGTTKGAGAAATCCTGTGGTGTCCTGAGGCAGCCAGGCAGGGGAGCAAAAACGACTGGTTGGGCCTAGGACCGCCTTTTGGGATCAGCTCCTCCTCTGGGCTGTGTCTCCAATCTGAGCTTCCTCATCACAGAGCACACACACCCACCAGGCCCCGTGCTGAAATGGGCAGGACAGAAGCAGAAGGAGGTTCTTAAAGAGACAGAGGCCAATTTCAAGGCATTTAGAAACAGATATGATGAGAAGATAAGTTTATTTACTACTTAAACATATAAAACAACATTTTAATAACAATTGAAGGTGACATAGTTACTTTATTATGGTATAGAATTTAAATATATGCCTGAGAAACACATAACATTACCCCTTTAAGTTAATAACAATAGCGCCGTTTCTAAATATATACTTTTATAAAGTCTGAACAAAAAGCTTTGTTGTCATCATGACTGAATTTTTTTCTTCCCGTATTAAGTTAAGTTTATATTGTTTTCTGTAGTTTGTCTTTATTTATATAAAGGAGCTGAATCTGAATAATGTCTTCAGCACATAGTCCTTCAGTTATGTTTTCAGTTTATTTGTTGTTTTGATCATGTTTTGACTGTAGTGTATTTATCATTTCTGTGCTATATTTCACAGAAACTAAGAAAAAGTTAATGTTTCTAAATACATTTTGTTTTGCAATGACATGCTCGRGCAGAATTTGAGATCCAATCCTTTTTGTTGAACAAATCCTCACCTATTTTGACGTTTACTTACTTTTTTTATATTTATTTTGTTTGTGCTCAAAAACGTGAACTACGAGCTAATGACTGGATTTTGTTGGACAGCCGTTGTGCCTGTCCGGTTGTTTGTGTGCTCTGTGAGGAAATCACATGTTGTCATTGTTTTGCACATGGATGGCGATGTGGTTTCAAACGTCTGTGTGACTGAGTGAGAACGTATGTGTGGGTTGATCTTTTTATGGCTGAGAAGTGTCCAGGCAGTCATCCTGCAGTGGACTGAGTGTGTATTCATGTGTGGACACGCTTTAAAAACTCTTGATGTCTTGTTGTGACAGGTGCTAATTAACATTTGGTAGCGTCTGTGTTTCCCTCGCAGACGGAGGGATGACGAACAAAGAGCTGACAGGGTTTTGTAAAAAGTAAATTTAGACACGTTTTTTACACTTYGCTTATGCGATTTAGGATCACACGAGATCACGCTTACGACTTATGATCAGAAACACAAGGATTTCTCTGGTACGGTGTTTRAAAATATGTTTATCTGTCAAGCACCTGTAAATCTACCTGGAGTGTGGACAAACAGAGCAGTGCTCTTTTATCTTTGCCCCGCAGGATGAACAAATGTCCAGGATATTTATTTATTTATTTATTTATTTATTTATTTATTTATTTATTTATTTGTGTGTAACTCTTGGCTTGTACGGTTGCAGTTCTGCTGAAGCGTCAGCAGAAACGTGGCTCCTCTTCTCCTTTAGCTTGTCGTTCAGTCAGCAGAGGGATTAGTGAGGTTTTTTTTTTTTTTTTGTATTTTTCAAGAAACTCATCTTCTGGGTTTTCAAGTATTTAAGCAGAGAGTTGGGGGGTGGGGGGTGAGAGTAATCTTGAGGAGACACTCACTCAATCGTCTGAGGAGATACGGTTCCCCTCATTTAGGGACCGCCRGTGGAGAGGACTGATAGCAGCTCACACCAGAGGCAGCAGCAGAAACGTTGAAGCAAACCGATTAACACCCCCCCACCCCCGCCACCCCCCTCAAAAAAAATCATCTGAATGCTGGTTTGTTTCAGGGTTTCTGCTCTCAGATCCAGCAGATAGAGAGCAGGGATTAGGGAGAGGAAATGGCTATTAAAAATAAATTAGCCTGGTTGACACCTAATTTGAAAATGTTCAATTTCACACCAGTTTTGTTCAAATATGCATTATTAATCACGTTCTTGGCAATGCAGGATAAACGACGGTATAATTAGGACCCCTGATAGCTTTAAACTGAATATTATAACCTTATACTTTTGGTTTGATTTTAACAGAGTGAAGGAACCCTGTTAGCTTTGGTTGGACCTTTTATTTTGACACTCCTTAACCTGCTGTGTGTCAGTGTTTTCATAAAAAAGCAAATAATCTAAAACCTATTTTTTTTCTATAAAACTGTCAATTGACAATCTTGTGTTATGAAATGGACAAACTTAAACACTTTACAAGTCTTGCGCTGATTTTTAGCAAAAAAGCTAAAAAATATGGCTACAAACCATACGATTCTGAAACTATTTTAGGGATGTAAGTTATTGATTGATGAATTAATCAAAAGTTGATTGATATTATCGATCGTCTAACGATTAATTGATAGGCAGCCATTTCCCTAAAAACCTGACATTTCTCTTGAATCAAGGGTCTTTCAGTTAATCGAATGGAAGGAATTTAAATCAAACAAACCATTATTTGACTATATACATAATTAAACAAACAATAATTATCCTTAAARCAGAGACAGAACCACACACCTTCCATGTGAGGGAGGGTTTTAGTTTGCAACCAGATAGGATTTGTCATCTAGTATTTTTTTCATAATTAAATAAAAAAGTCACATTGTTTGCCCTTTTATTTATTTTTTTATCCAATTTCAACAGTAGTCAGTGTTCTACAGGTCATGTGTCAAAATGTTTGATAAACTATATAAAGGTATCAGGTAAATGTTAAGTTAAATTAGAAAAACAAATTTGTTAATTTATCCTAAACTTGATGCAAAAAAAAACTATGCAGAACTGAATATAATTGTAATTTGCAATTTCCCTCCATGGGATCAATAAAATATCATTCATTCTTTCAAATGTAAAAATATCATCAGTCA